GCGGGCCGCACCGTCTCAGCGCGCGAGGATCTTCTGCTGACCTTCGCCTGCGCGGTCGCCACCTACCTCGGCCACAGAGCGAGCGCCAGCCTCTGCACGCGTGGCCACGAAAAGCCGGATTAAGCTCTGCTGGCGCGGGTCTGGCGCGCGCGGCATTGCAGAGCATTGCAGTAGCGGACGAGGGTAGCGCTCGGTGTCGCGGATATCTCAATAGCATAATGTCTGCGCGAAACCCTACTTTTTCCGCGGCTTTTGTCGAGGCTTTTAGAGGCGCGGCCAGGCACGCGGAACTCTCACACCACCAGTACGGGGCGCGTCCGGGGTGTCGAGACTCCGCACGTGTGCGCGGTCTGGGGCGCACTCCGCTCATTCGGACAGCAGCTGGGCGAGCTTTCCGCTGCTGATTGCGCGCTGCGTGTCGTCGTTCCCTCCGAGGTGAGCTCCCTTCACAAACACGTTCGGCACCGTCCGCTGCCCCGTGAGCGAAAGCAGCTCCGCCTGGATCTCGGCGCCGTCGTCGAGCTCATCCAGCTCCACGACGGTCGGCGTGACGTTCATGTCGGCGAGCGCCGCCTTGCAGCGCTGACAGTAGGGGCACCACGACTTGCTGTACACCACAACATCGTTCGACGCCACCGTGTCCTTGATGGCTTCAGCGAGCGCAGCGTTGGCGCTGATCCCGCTGGAGCGGGCGCGGCTCACGGCAAGGAGCGGCGGCGGAGCGGCGCGAAGCAGGAAGGACTGCACGAGCGCCGGCGCGGCGGCGACGAGGAGAAGGATGAATCGGCGCATCATGTGTGTGGTTGGCGCAGCGACGGGCTGTCGTCGTTGCACGTTGCAGGGAGACGCCCAGAGAGCTCAAAAAAAGAAATCGTGCGGCTCTCGAGACCTTCTCGAAGGGTGTGTCCGTTTTATTTATTTATTTATTCCCGAAGACCAGCAGCGCCGCCGTTGCTAGCGCTATCGACGCGTCGAGGTACCACTGTAGCCGGACGCCCTGCAGCGTGGCGGCGGCCTTGTACGCCAGCAAGGGCAGCACCAGCGCGGCCGCGCGCTGCGTGCTCTGAGCCTTGGAAGCGACGACTGCCTCCAGCGGCACTCCAGAGGAGGAGAGAGGGGGCCAGTGGTCGTCGACCGCCGCCGCCATCGCCGCAGCGGGCATCAGCGGCCCTCTGGACACGCGGGCGGATGACACCGCTGGCCGGACATTGATCAGCTGCACGTCGATCGCGACGACGCCGGCCACGTCGTTGCCTGCGCCCAGCCCCTCGCTCTCCTGCCGCCTGACAAGCGGCGGGATGGGTGCCGAGGTATGGGCAGTGCCGAGGTGTGGTCGGCGACGAGCGCGTGCGGGCGGATGCCTCCGGTTCTCGTTGAGGACTGTGCCGTACAGCCTTTGCCTCTGCCCAAACGAGCGCGGCACGGGCTCGTGGGCGCGGTCCTTGTAGCCAAGCCGAGACGGGATCACGAGCCGGCGCGTCCCGCCCTGCCGCATGCCCAGCAGGCCCTCCTCCATGCCGTCGATCAGCTGGCCTGGGTTCGCCGAGGGACAGGGTGCAACGCGCGCCGTGCGGATGAGGCGGGCGGTGGGAGTGGGGGTGAGACGGTTAGGGAGGCGGCATGAGCACCGCTTCCCATGGTCAGCCGGTACGGCTCGTCCTCCTCGGCCTGGGTGTTCATGAAGACCCACCCCTGCTTGCCCACGAGCCTGCCCACTGCGTGGAACGTGACGCGGCTGAACGGTGTAACCGTGTCGCCTGAACCGGTCTTGATGTCAGCCCAGCGCAGCCCACTCTCAGTCGTGACGAACGAGAGCTGCTGCGACGAGTGCACAGCAATAGGGCGCGAGGCGGCAGCGCTGCCAGCGGCAAGGGCAAGGCGGCGCGAGATCGACGGCCGTCCGGTCAACACAGCTCCACTGCTGCAGCAGAGGAGGACCGCGAGGGCCATCGATAAACCACTGTCTGGTCTAACAGCGAGTCCGTGAACTTACGTTCTCGAGTGCGGAGAGTTGTAGTGGGCGAGCGGATAGCCAAATCACACGAATAAAGAAAGAGGAAAGCTCGCGCCCAGGAAAAAAATTTGGGAGGGGAACGTTCACGGGGAGACTCAAATTACGGCGGATAGCAATCTCTCGTCAGCTCGAACCCGTCGGGCTCAAACGTTGGCGGAACCGAGCCCCCCCAACGCGTCGCCTCCAAAAGGTGCGCCGCCATCACCCGTCTCGTTACTCCATGGATGACCTCATCTCGCTCCGAGACCTCGAGGCCTTCGCGGCCCTGCCAAAGTTGCCGGTAGCTAACCTCGCGCAGCCGTCCAAGTTTGAGCCCGAGCTTCCGGATGCCAAGCGCGTTCTCGCAATCAGAACCTGGGGTCTCGACGGGCCCCCGGGGGCGACGGGGGTGCTCTCGCGGGGGGTCCCCCCAGTCAAGGGGGTCTGGGGCGGTGCGCCCCAGGTAGCCCGCCGCAGGCGCCGATTTTTTGGGGCTTTTTTGACTGATTTTCATGAGGTGTTGCTACTATTTTGGGACCAGTTAAAGCCTAAAAATGGCTACAAATACAGCCACACCAGCTGCTAGTCGTGAGCTGCTTCTGTGTGGCAGAGCCCAGAGAGAGGGCTTTCAGGAGCAATATTCAGTTTGATCCAGCTCAACGTTGCGGAGTAGTAACACTGTTCCGTTACCGCGTAAGCGGCCGGCGGCCGGCGGCGGCCGGTGCGGCACGCGGAGCACTCCGTGAGCGGTGACGGGTGCGGACGACCACCGCAAAGCGTGCGCGCTGTGCAACACTGCCGCCGTACTCATCGCTCCGGCGGTTGATCAGAGGCGTGAGGAACTGGCTCAAGAGATAGCCATGACCGCAGTGGACCTCGATGCAGGCAAAGCCAGCCTCGGCGCAGAGCGCGGCTGCGGTCGCAAACTCGGCGGTGACGGCGGCAATGTCTGCCCGCGTCATGGTGCGTGGCCACGCCGGCTTGCTCGGTAGGAGGAAGAAGCTGGGGCCCATGGGCTGTCCGCTGCTCGACATGACAAACAGGCCAGGGTGGTGCAGCTGTGCCGACATGCTGCCTCCCGCGGCGCGTACCTTTGTCACAAGCGACCTCCAATCGCCCAGATTCGCCTCCGAAATGTGGCATTGATTGTCGAACGTCTTGTTCCTCTCGCTGACTGCGACGTACGCCACCGTGAGCAGGCTGACGCCATTTGCGGCCATTCGGCAGTACATGCGCTCCATCGATGCAAATGAGTGGCCGCCATGGGTCGCGGCCTTGACGAATCGGTTTCGCAGGCGCAGCGGCCCAATTTGCACTGGCGAGAAGGCGTTCACGCTGGCTGTTTCTCGCGCTTTGGCTGCGAGGAGTGGCTCGCGCTCCGCTTTCATTGTCACCCACTCGGTGGACAGTCGGTAGCCGCCCAGTGACGCGTTTCGCGGCGTCGGACGGACGCAGAAGAAGGAAAGAAAAAATTTCCACGCCGTCGCGCCATTTCTTCATTTTCCGACTGACTCCTCAACAGTTCCTACTGCCTGGCCAGGCCGCTCGCGCTCCCGTTCAAATCCACCGCCTCGCTGTGACGATGTCCTCCAAGCAAGACGCAAAGGTCGTGATACTCGGCGCGAGCGGCTGCGGCAAGACGTGCCTATCCCTGCGTTTCGTCAAGGACCAGTTCATATCGTGCGCTCTCCCGCGGCCAACTGCACTTCCGCGGCCCAAGGCTGACTAGTGCGCGGCCCGCGCCCAAGGTACACCGC